ACAAACCATTTCTTCTTCCTTCTTTTATTCAACAGTTACTGACTGAAATAAACTTCCAGAATCAGTCATCCATCCTTCTTCGTTATTGTCATTTGAAATAGCTCTATCAGAATCTTTATAGTAGAACATAGCCATATTTACAGTTAAAAACAAACCCACTGCTGTCACCCTTATTTTGTTTTCTTGTTTTTATTCTTTCTTTATTATCTCTCTGTTTCGTACACTAGTTTACTTTTTATTTTTATTTTTCTATTTATAGATTCTTTTTGTTGTTGTTGGGCTCGAGTCATTGTTATTATAGATCGGGAGTCTTTGATGACTCTCACTTCTCGTATAAAATTATTCATCCATTCATACGAAAGCGTCGGTTACGGATAGGAATAAGATGCACAAGTTCTGAAGAAGGAGATAAAAGACTTTTGCAGTGTTCAAAACAGCGCTAAGTGCTGCTTTTTCCCCTGGTAGACAGCTCAGAGTGGTTAAGATAAGCTGAAAGTAAAAGTTAATCGTAAGGCTGTACAGTCAATATAAGCGTATATAGATTACACCCAAGTTTAACGTACAGCGTACTCCTACCCTGGCCGCTCAGGTTTTTTTTTCTTTTTCAGGAAAAAAAAGTCAACCATTATCATGAGTTCACTATTACCAATCTGACATACGCCCCCATACTTTCGATTTTTAGTTAAGCTTTGAAAACATAGTTTAGGTGAAATCTGTTTTTTTAAAATGATGAAGAAACAATATTAAACCTGTTTTGAACAAGATTTATCTTATAAAACATTTATGCATTACTCAACTGAGCGAATGAAAATAACTGAATAAAATACGGATAAGGGAAGTTGAGCATATGTTGAGTTTTATGTTTGTGTGGTAATTCTCTAGTCAGTTGTTAGGAGGAAATTATGCTGAATTATCTGAGTTTATTGGATGAACTTTATTTTTTTGTTCATGCTACTGTCTAAATCTTTTATATATTGAAAAACTAAAAATGAAAAAATTAATTTGTCATTAATTTTTACATTTACACCTACACTGTAAAATAATGAATTAAAATAAATAGATAAATCTCATCCACTTAAATGTTGAAATCATTCGTGAAAGTAGTTTTTTCTATATCATACGTCAATGGTTCAGTAGTTGTTATCGCCTACAAACGTATGATGTAGAAAATTTGAAATAAAACAAGCTGGCTATTTATTCTCACACCTCTTCTCTGGTCGTCACTGTTAATTGTTGTTTTTTATTCGTTTTCGGTTCGATTTTTTCGCAGTTTCCTAAGAAAACGCGGTTTTGGATAAGAGGACCGCGATTCAGAAGCTATTTTAGCGAAAAAACGTGTTTAGATGCGTTTGTGAAACTGAAAAAATACTCATGGGTGGTAATATAGTCGCTGGCGATTACATTTGTTCTACAACATCAATTTAATTCTAGAAATTTTCTCTTCATTTTGTCATGTTCAAGAACTGTTTAAAATACACAGGCTACATCGGCTGAAGTTTTCGCTTAGACACAAGCGAAGAATTTAATGCTGGGCTTTGTTTTTTAATTTTAATTTTTACTAAACACATTTCTGTATTGAATCTCTCTTACAATGATATCAATGTATATATCTGACTAGTACAGAGAGAAAATAGAAAAAAGTATCTATATCTCTGTACCTCTCTATAAAAATGTATGTATTTTGTTGCTATATATACCTCAAAAGTGATCTCATATTTTGTATGTTAACTCAGCGTCCAAAGAAAGAAGATTGTCTCGTAGATAATACAAATACTTATAGAGTAGCTAACGTGCCTTCTCAACTCTTTTTCTGATCTCCAAAGAACCTTTTAATTGGAGTGTAACAGATCAATCAGTCACTTCGGACTAACTAATTTATGGATTCTTATACTTAAATTAGAGTTTTAATTCAGTTTTTCAGATACTAATAAAATGCAGGCAGGAGAACCTTTGACGCGTTTAGCTTGCATTCGTCAATGTCAAGAAACTGTCCAAGAATTAGTTTCAAAACCTGCTGATGTTTGTACATGGTTAAAATCATTATGTCAAACTCAAACGAACGCTACACTTCAATTCAATGAGAAAAAACAACGTTTTGAAGAATTATTGAATGGGATAACATTACATTTTAATACAATTCGACATTTATTTGTTCGTTTACGTGAAATTTATGAACACATATGTAAAGATCCAACACCAGTCATTAATAAAAATGAATTAGATCGTTTAATTAAACAACGTGAAATATATGAAGAAATATTATTTGAAAAAAAACGACAAATCAAAATAACATTGGATAGCATGAGAGACTTGTGTTATCAAATAAACACAATGTTGGATCTAAGACAAGAAAGCACAGAAAAATAATGCTGTTTCTATATTTTATATTTTCAAGTTCTCTTTTCGCTTATTGTGTATATTTTTTCATCTCTAGGACAGAGATTTTGTTGTGAATAAAGCACTGATCTTTATATTTCATTTACTTTTTCAGTTTTCTAGAATATTTGCTCAATTTATGAACGTTACTTATTTCATGAAGTCTCTAGAAAATACATGCTGACTAAATATAACAGCTAAAGCCGGTGTATTGAACTTAATGAGCCATAAAAATCTCATTTTGCACGGATATCGTTGGATTATTATCGAAAAATTCGTGTAACTCTTTGATCTTTTCTTTGCGGCGGTTATAGCAGACAGTTAGCCGTCGAGGTAACTATTAGGTTTTCTAGCTGAAAGTTAAGACTGCATACTAAATTTATTGCTTGTCTGTCGTTTTTTAGATGGATAATTTTCCGATATATATCAACGATGATATAAAAAAAATTGAACAAGCTTTAGAAATATGTCTCGATGATGTTGAAGCTGAAACGGCTCAGAATGCTGGTATGTAGGATTGATTTATATCCCTTTTATGCTATTTGTATCATGTAAAGTACTGTTAGGTATTGATTCTTGGATGTGAGGCTGATTTTAACTTTCTTCAATGGGTTCTCTTATTCTTATGCTCTAATCTAACTTTCATCTGTTTTTCTCTTATTTGCTCTAGTTCAATTGACATCACTCAAAATACCATCAACTATATTAAGTGACAAATTTCATTCACTATCTCAACAATCCATTTGTTCAACTGGAGAATATCAAACACTAGATAATGACAATCCAGTAATTGATTATTATTGTCCTCCAGTTCCATCTACGAATAATCACAATGTGCAAGAAGAATCGAGTGAATGTTCTCAAAGTAATTATTTTTTTGTATATTTTAATTAATATTAATGTTTATTTATCTTTTTCTCTCTTTCAGTTTTTGATAGTATACCTGATATCCAACAGTACAAACTGAGTGATTGTCGACAATTCATTGACAACTACATTACTCAAGCACATACTGTTAAAACAAGTATAAGTTTAGTATCATTAAGAAATGTTCTTCACTGTAATGATGTGTTCTTTTAAGATTTACGACAAAAACATTTGATAACATTAGTTGCAGCATTGAATCTCTGTTATCAACGAAGTTTATTTGAGTTATCATCACATATTCAAATACTTGTACGTATTATTATTTAATATACCTTAATATACTATCTTTTAGCTTTTTTAAGGAAAAAGCTGAAGAAATGGTGATATTGAATGCGGAAACAGAAGAACTTAATACTCTTCCAGTATCCATCTTTGAACAATATATTGATTATCCATTGTACAAAATGGAAGTAAGAACATAATTCAATTAAGAAAAGAAGTATAACATTCTGTTGTTTTTCTCATCATTCTAGTCAACAACGGAAAATCCAGTACAAAATATGTTAAAATTGTTGCAGAAACACGAAAAAGGAAGACTATGTAAGATACGGCCTTAGATAAATAATATCTTTATTATAATTTGTTTGGTTTTTCTTAGGGACCAGTGAGCCACTAAATAAATTATCTGCTGCTGCATATAAGAGTGCATACGATAATAAAATATTTGATCTTACACGCAAGTACGTTTTGTTATTCTACAGTTTGTCTGTAGTTTATATACCCACTATTCTTTATTTTAAGAATCCAAATTGCTCAATCAGTCACTCGTGATAACAAAATAAATCAACAACATCTTAAATTATATGAAAAAGACTTGAAAGATGTTCGGTAAATCCTCTATTAATATTGATTATAGACATTTTTTGATTTTTGTTCTGTAGGACACTGTCAAGTAAACAATTATTTCGATTATATAATCTATCCATTGATTGGTATGACGTGGCAACAAATGCAGTAAGTGTCTTATCTTCAAGACATTCTGATGTAGCTGTATGAATCCTCTCCAATTAAGATTCAAAGATGAAATATTTTAGCGGTTGTCTTCGAAACTTAGTATTTTTCAAATTGATTTTTGTACAGTTTGTAAATGGATAGATCATATTTAGATATCTAACTAAAATTTTGCATTTAGTTGAAGAATCAGTTCAGTGAAAAGTGTTGTCAAAAAACATGGGAACAAATTTGTCATCCATCTCTTAATCAAGGACCATGGTCTGTAGAAGAAGATGATAAACTCTACCGATTAGTTCAAAAATATGGATGTTATGGTGATCAATGGCAGTTAATAGCTAAGAATATGGTAATGTTAATGTTTTGTATAAAAAGAATACAACAATGAACTTTGACTTATTTTATTTAGCCGGGACGATCATCTTATCTTTGTGCAAAACGATTTATGTATCTTGAAAATATAAAATTAGATAATACGTATGAGATTTATTCTCGCAAAATGTTTGCTCATTTTCCTTATTTCTTATTTATCTTTTAGAAACTTTTCCAACAGCGAAAAAGAAACATTATGTCAAATTGTTGAAGATAAACGATCTGCTTATTATATTCCATTTAATAGAAGTAAATATCTGTTTTCATCGTCTATAATTGTAAACAGAGTCACACCCGAATTTGTATCTATGCGAAAAAAAAATTTTAGAAGTATATCACCACAGTTTTCCTGCATAAATATTATATAATTTATTTTTTTGTAGTATCTTACTTAATCAGCAATCGTACACCAAGAGCAATCCGAAAACAATGGGATTTATTGGATCCGTATCGTCGAGTCGGGCAATGGCAAGTAGAAGAAGATGAAGTAATATGACGTTTTAATATTGAAATAGATGAATTTATTCATAATTTGTAGATATCTATTCAAATCGATTGTAGATGTTAATGAATGGTGTTCAAAAACAATCTCGACGATCAAAGATTAATTGGAATTTGATTGCTGAAAATTTACCTGGACGTTTACCTAGAAAATGTTACCATCGTTATCTTCATTTGATAAATAGAATAACAAAAACAAGTATACCTCCATTTGCACCGTCAGAAGATGTACTACTATTAGAAAAATACGAAGACTTAAATGGTATAGGACACTTCATTTTGTTAGAATGTATGTTCTGAATTATGATTTTCTTTTTTTAGCCAAGTGGTCAGATATTCAAAAATTTTTTCCTGGACGAACTTGTTACAATTTACAAAATCGCTATCGTAAATTAATGTCGTACAAACAATTGAATGAGTTATTTTATGCACAATCGGTATGTACTATCCATCTCAAAATATGGTGATTGCAGATAATTTTCAAATAACTTTCGAATGCTGAAAGTTAGAAACTCCCGGTTTTCGATAACTTGTAAGGCATATCGAGAGACGTCGATCTATAAAAAATAAGTTTGAAAATCTTTTCCGGATAGGGTTATGAAACAGACTTTGGACAATCAATTCACATGATCACAATATGAAGCAGCAATATATTTCTTTTCTATCTGTGATGATCGTCCAAAGTGTCTTATAAAAAAAGGTCCGGATCCTTGATCTATCGTGGTTTAGATGTGGCATCGGGTGTCATGAAACACACAGAAGTGGTGTGAGATGTCAGAAATCTCAGAGATGAATGGAATGTAGCTTATCATCCACACACATTGAGCCTTGTGGCAATCAATGGTTGTTTTTGTTACAAATTCCAGAAAACAGCGTAATCACTCAGAGCTTATGAATACGACCGAAATTTTCCGAAAGTCCATTATGAGGATCTAGAGTGTCTTTTAATTTTCTGTACATCTGAGTTTAGATGAAGCAGCTGTAAAATCTTACATCACTCCTGTGTATTTCACGACACCCGATGCCACATCTAAACTAACATATGGTGCAAAAGTCATGGCAATGATGTCAAACTCTGTTAGACAGTATTGCCGACTTCTAAATCAATCAAACTTGTTTTTGTTGGAAAGAGCAAAGTCTGAACTACAAATTTTGTATCAGACATATTTTTCCAGAACAAATCTGAGAAGGAGGAAAAGTCAAAAACCAAACACCTCTGAAAAAGTCCTTGCAACGTTTTTGCAACTTGAAAAGTTTGTATTTCTCAATTATTTCGAGCTCCATGTATCAAACTTGAACAAAAACTACACCAAAATGTAGCAGATCAAAAACTCTATCGATATCAACATTGGAGATTTTTGGTCTCTATTTAGCTGTAGGATTCGTGAAAATATATAAAGTTTTTATGATTAGTGAATGTGTATGACTAAGGGAAAGAGAAGGACTTTCGCATTACACAGTAAAAATAAAGGACATTCTTAATATTTCGCTTTTTTTCTTTAAAATATATGGATATAAATGACATAGTAGTAATAACAAATAATGAATTATAAAAGATAGTGTTTCTCTTTTATTCCTATCTTTATATCTAATATTTCACGCGAACGTAAGTGTGGATAGACTCATTCATAGAAAGTAAATTTTGAGATAATAAGATACAAGATAATTTAAGAAGAGCTTCGCTAAGAAAATTAATTTTCTGTTCAGAAGCTGGTTTCGAGTTTCACATGAGTTCACATAAATGAAAAGCTTAAAATGTCTACCTTCAGAATTTGTATCATTCTGCTAGCTAAAAGTGCACCGTGTAAGTTTTGGAAGAGTTTTCGAGAAATCCAGAGAACTGCTATCGTTACTACCGATCAGTAAAGAATGCATTTCTCTGCATAACGTAGTCACAAATTTCTTCTCCGTGAAAGCCAGAACAAAACAATTTTGGTGTTTTTTGAGTTTCGTTTCATGAAAGCGAAAATCGTAAATTAGTAGACTCTATTAATACTTTTTTCAGTTGCTCAACTAGAACCGCCTGCCGGAGAGCAATGGAAGCAAAAGTCAAAATCTGCGTAACCTTTTATCCCCCTTTTGCCACATATGTTATACTTCTTGACAACGACGCATAGTTAAGTATATAATTGATATTATTTATAAATACAAACGCTATTTGTCATTATTAGACATGAGTGAGACGGACTCACTCCCGATCCCAGGACCAAAGTTTTTTTTTCGGAAGGACAGGAACCAGAACCGAGATCGAAAACGGCTGCTCTCCTCATATTTATGTTAGATTCATGCCTAGACACGGGCGGGACGGCCCAGGCCTGGTCCTGGTTAAAGACGTTTTGGCTCCGAGGCCGGGATCCGGACAGTCTGACTCATATCTAATAATGGCAAATAACGCTTGTATTTATAAATAATGCTAATTATTTACTTAACTGTGCGCAGTTGTCAATAAGTATTACATATATAGCAGCAAGTATTACACATACAGCAAAAACAACACGTAAGGGAAAAAAATGTCTCATGTCATTCCTCATTCCCTCCTCCCCAATAACCAGCGTGACCATTATATGGTTTATCATGTCTTATCTACCTCGTTTTTTGAAACTTTCGAAAGACATTGATATGAGTAGTTTGTCGATATATATCACAACATACGTCCCCAAGATGTATCTTGCCTGTTGATAGAAAAATAATTATTAAAAAAATTCAACTTTCGTGTTTTTTTTAAACTTACCGATTTTCGTTTTTCAACTCATTGTTTTCGAAGGTGAGCAACAAAATAAAATATTCTTTTAATCAATCGATAGTGTATGGAATACACTACAAAAAATGTTCCCAAAGTTTTTAAATTCCATGCTTCCTTTATCTTTTACAAGCGTACTACAAATGGTCACTCCAGTGACCAAGGGGTAAAGGGTTAAGTTAGTCTGCAGATTTGAGTATCTAATCTAGTTTAAAACAAATCCGGTCTGTTACTAAAGTCAAGAAAAATGTACTGCGATGGAGACCATTTTTTGATTCAACACCGATAACTCTTGAACGATTCAATATGTTAAAATGAAAATTTTTTCATAGCTTATTAAGATAAAATGTAGAAGTTAACCATAGATGTCTAAGTACAGAATATATTTCGACAGTCATGTTACCCTTAGAAATATACTCCAGAAGTCAAGCGATATGCACTGATTTTGGCTTTCTGATCTTCTGACTTTCTTTTTCTATGATGCTTTCACGTAAGTCAGAAAGTCAGAATATTAGAATATGGGATAATCAAAGCATATAAAAAGTAAAGACTTGCAGAAACTTGTACCGTCAAAGTACGAAAATGGAGACAGACCAACGAAGATCTTTCTTGATCTGAACCGCGCTATAAGTCTTTGTACCATTGAAAGATGAAGCAAAATGATCCACGAGAGTGGCTCTATCAACCTGTCGCCGCCACCTGGTTGCCCGCGAACAGAAAACAGAAAGAGAAAGATTTGCAAACTGGACACGAACAAAGTTTCGGAAAGAGGACATAATGGAAATTCTGTTTTCTGACGAGAAAATGTTCGACATAGATGGGGTGTGCAATTCTCAGAATGACCGTATATGGGCTGTAGATCGTGTAGAAGCCAACAACAAGGGTGGTATCAAGCAAAGGCGCCAATTTCCGCAAAAGGTGATGGTCTGACTGGGAGTCCGCTCTAAGAGATTGTCACCTCTAGTTATCTTCGAGAAATCGATATACAAAAACAAAGCTCATGTTATTCGAATTGTTAAATGGTTCAGAATCATTCAGCTGCTATCTTTTTATACTCTTACCCAAACTTAAATATATTATTGCTCAATTAGCAGCAGCAAGCAGCATCCTTTCATCGATATTATATTGATGCACTACAAAGCTAGCATTTTAAAAATCTAACAGTTATATCTGTTTCAAAACACCTGTGAACGGCCGTTTGAATATATAGTACATATGCTTTCATTACTCAGGGACTACAATATTACTAATTTGTCGGAAAAATCTCGAAATTGGCTCATTGTGTACAGAACAGTTAGTGAATTAATTTGTGTGAAATATTTTCTACAATATCCTATGAAATGTTATAGAAAATAGGTTTTACTAAAACGTTGAAAACCCGTGTAATTTCAACGGGATGGTTCCAATTAGACACACATTTCGCTGTACGGGAACCAAATGATTTACTATTGATCTACATCTACGCCTAGACTATGATCTATGTCTACGCGCAGACTTATTTTTTGAGGACTTCCCTTACTGTTATAAGTTATCCTTCACAAAAACCTAATTGTAGGATAATTGACTTCAGTAGTGCGAGCGCATTCATGCTGACATTTATTCAATATGTGTATTTTCTAAGGGTCCGAACTTGATCTGACTTTAGATTAAGACTGACTTAAATTTCCTTTGTGACACGTTCTAAGTCAATGTACTTACGTATGTCTTAGTTGAAGTTTAAAGTTAAACACAGGCTTAACTAAGCAACTTAAGCAATTTTGTAATATGGCTCAGTTTTTTCTCATTAAACTACTGTTTACTTTTGTGTACTTATGTTTTATTGGATCGTAGATTGTTGTCGTATCTTATTTCTTCTTATATCATCACGTTTTTCTCTGAAATTTTGTTTTGTTTGAAATTGTTTTCTTTGCTGAGTAAATTTGGGAGGAAAAATGAAGCAATATTAATGGTCATAAGGTATAATTATAAAATAAACGTCAAAAACTGATTTGACTTAGAAACAGGAGGAACAGTTTTGTTATGCCTCCAACTATTGTCTGATGGAACAAAATGACTTTGAAAGCACAGACTGTAGTACAAAAGGGATCGATTCATATTTTAGACCAACAAGTTTACTCCTCTCTTTCATAAATGATATGTTTTGTGTGTATTATTCAAGTTAAATGCAGCACCATCTCTAGATAACTTCTATCATTTGAGATACCAACCAGACTTGCAAGAAATGAATCGGTATATATCAGATTTCTTCCAGATAGATGTGCTTTTATATGCTCTGAGATATTTGAAATATGCTTTTAGATATGCTCACTGTGCGCAATTTTGGCTAGGCATGCAGACATCAATTCTAGAAGTAGACAAAAACTACTTAAATCAGTTTTCTATCGGTTTTCGATGATGCTCTTATAAATGGTATAGTTCTTGAGTAACGAAAAAGTTTTCTAGAGGATTTCCCAGAGATCCGATCTCTGGAAAACCGTCTAGAAAACTGTTTCGTTACTCGAAATCATTCCGTTGGAAAGAACATCGTCAGAAACCTATAGAAAACATGTCTGGAAGCGTATGTTTTATAATGAACTTTAAATTTTGGCAGAAAATTGTTCCTGTGAATCCCAAAATCTAAGAAAATTGTAGAATTCAAAATTTAGGCATCAAAACCAGATGAGTAATACATCATTCGACGTAGCGTTTTGCACTGATTCGATATAGACTTTGCCGCAGTTTCAGAATGTCTTTGTTTTTCTAAACGGTTGCACAGATTTTGCGCATAATCCAGTTTTCCATAATCCAGTTCCATTGTTTTCGGTCTAATTTTGCTTAGCAATTTACTGACTAACGAGGGAACATTCTCAGGTGCCCATACCGTTTTCATTCATTCATATCTCAATCGATAAAGTATATCGAGCTTGTAAAAAGTGTGAAAGGATATCGGCCCACGACTCTTTAAGTCCTGGTTTTCTGGAAAACCAGTTTCTCA